TTACTTTAACGAAGTCTAATAGCTGCTATCTGGTAGAGATGTGAGGCCAAGTCTTCCTCTTGAGAATCAGCCTATAACTCATGCTATTATGAAACAAATGCCCTGTTCTGTCCTCTAGAAGTTGCCTTGATCAGAATATCCTTCTTTACAGGAGCTGTGTTCCATGAAAATAAGGCTTTAATTTTATGGCCTCCATTCAGTTCTGATCCTGATTAGTATTCATCCTATTTGATTCTAGATACTGTTTATTTACTTCCAAAATCCATCACTCATGGATCTGACCTCACAAGGGATACTTAAAAGAATAAGCAAGGTCTCTAAAGACGGTTCCCAAATCTGAGATCCCAGACTTTGGGAATTACTATGCAGTCTCCCCTTGGCCCTCTCCTTTCCTCCTCCAGGTGACTAATTTAGGGAGATATCTGAGTCTTGGAATGAAAAAAGATGTATTTATAGTCATACTTCACATAAAAAGGGAGTTCAAAGGGAACTAACATTGGCTGATTATTCAAACTGCTTTATCCATATCTTCTCACTTTATTTCACGTTAACACAACCTGTAGTGTAGTAGTTTTATTATTACACTAATTTTGCAGATGAGAAAACAAGGCTAATAAGTGACAGAGTAGAGATTCAAACCCAGGTCCCAGTTAACACAAAGCGTATTCTCTCCCCACACCACCCGTTGTCCCTGTCCCATGAAGGCACTGGGAGCCTTGGAGGAATGCTGTAATTCCATCCCATCAGCTTGGGCCGCTGCCTAGCACTGTGGATCAGAGCACCGGTAGCTCCTCTTGGTTTCTCATGCCCAGAGAGCACTTCACACCCCCTCCCCACTCTGCCACCCCCCCCACCCCCCGGTGCATTGTCAGCTATCTTGTAAAGGCACCTCCTTGGTCCTTAGGCAGATGGATGAGTGGAGCCTGCAACTGGGAACCTAACTCAGACAATCCCTGATGACTGTGGGGTCAGTAGTGCCATTGCTGACCAGGGAAATAAACCATCACTATTCTTACCGCCGCTTTTCAAGGAGAAGAAAAGTATTCTGTAAGGACCATTCTCACCTTGGTCAGCAGTGCTCAGAGTAAACAGGCATGATGAGTCCAAGGGTGCCGAAGGGTGTCTGATGGGGATGATGATGACAACAAATGGGAAGCGTGCTTTAGCCAGAGCCGGGTGCGCACAAGTACGCGTACACGTGTGTACGAGGATGTGTGTGTATTTTTCCTGGCTCCGGAAGGGATGCTATGTATTTCTGAGCAGCTCTGCACAAAGGAATCCAGCATTTAAGTTTTGCCTGCATCAGATTCTGTTCGCAAAAGATAGCCAGGAATGGTTTTTGGGGCATGGTTTCAAATTTAAAAAGGATTATGGCCGGGCTTCCCTGGTGGCGCAGTGGTTGAGAGTCCGCCTGCCAATGCAGGGGACACGGGTTCGTGCCCCGGTCCGGGAAGATCCCACATGCCGCGGAGCTGCTGGGCCCGTGAGCCATGGCCGCTGAGCCTGCGCGTCCAGAGCCTGTGCTCCGCAACAGGAGAGGCCACAACAGTGAGAGGCCCGCGTACCGCTAAAAAAATTAATAAGTAAGTAAATAAATAAATAAATAAGGATTATGGCCCATGAACCCTAGAAATGGTGGGTGGAGGTGTGAACCTTTGAAATTCTAATTGCAGCCCAGTCTAAGGAGGTATATATTTACCCGGGCACAATATCTCATTGTCCACATACTCCTTTCGTGGCCGGAGGAGGAGCAGATACATAACATAATCTTCAAATGAAACTGAAACAACAATTGGTGGCAGCAGTTTGGACTCTGGTGAGTTCCGTCAAGAAAGAAATCCCCGCTGTTGACCATCGCAGTTAGCTTAGCTTGTCCTAACAATCTTTATTCCTTACGTCTGTAGAGCTGAGGGAATGCACAGACTCAGCTCCAGCTGGGAGGGATCTGTGTGGTCATTTTGACACACCCACCCCTTTATTTTACAAGTGACGGCACCAAGGCCCAAGGTGACAGCATCAGTTATTAGGAGAGAAAGCTCTGGAATCCAGGCCTCCTGGAGTTGAGGCAGTTATTCACCGACTCTAGGCTTTTCGTAATGGCTCATATTTATCGAGTGTTTACTCTAAGCCATACCTATGGGATGGAAGCAGCTACCAGCCCAGCGGAGGTGACAGGCATTCGATGACAACTTGGAATAGAGGGAAGAGTAGAAATAATGCGAAATCAAAGTCTTAATTGATTTCCAGCCTAGAGGAAGGCCTTCCTGGAATGGATGGAAGTCTAAGTGCTGGGTGTTGGGCTCTCAACTGCTGCATGGGGTAGCATGCGGTTACGGAGGCTCAGAGAGCTTGATTAGCCCAAGCTAGTAGCGGCCATATTTGCTCCAGTCACAGAACCTTCTAGATGCAGGATGGCCCAGTTAGTATATGGAAAAAGAGGTAGGATTTTCTTCTGGTGGCTCATACGCCAGTCTGTCAACAACAGCACATGAGCAAGTGACCTCCAGGTGCAGGTCTTTTCTTTTTTTAAAAATATTTACTTATTATTTTTGGCTGCGTCGGGTCTTAGTTGCGGCGCGCGGGCTCTTTGCTGTGGTGTGGGGGCTTCTCTCTAGTTGTGGCGCATGGGCTCCAGGGCACCTGGGCTCAGTAATTGCCGAGCGCAGGCTTAGTTGCCTACGTGGTCCCTTCCCCGACCAGGGATCGAACCCGTATCCCCTGCATTGGAAGGCGGATTCTTAACCCCTGGACCAGCAGGGAAGCCCCCGGGTACAGGTCTTAAATGGCCTGCAGTGGCCATTTGGCTGTCTCCCCAGAACCTCAGCCTTGGTGTGTCCCAAACCAAACTTTTAAAGTGTGAATGAGGAGAAGGAGGGTGCCTGTTTGCTTCTTTACTTATTTTTTAGAATGCCTCTCAGAACTCATGTCTCAACACCTCACTCTGGCAGGGAAGAGTCTTTATTGGTGTGTGCTGCCTTACCAAGGCCTTCCTTTCATTAGCTGAAAGGCTTTGCCTTCCTAACAGAAATGAACAGTTCTCTGAAGGCACAGTGCAGGTTCAGGACAGCCAGCACAGGCAGACAAAACAGCTGGAACTCTCACAGTGGCTTTCCTGTGCACAAAGCACTTTCTCATCCGTTATCATTTAACAGCCTCATGGGGTTGGTGCCCTCATCTTTCCCCTTCTTGGGAGGCAACTGAAGGCCAAGATTGCAGAGCCAACAGCACGAGGCAGCCCCTCATTCTCTTTTCTGCTCAAGATGTCACCTTGTCAGAGAGGCCTTCTCTGAACACTCCTTATACCATAGCACCTGCATCACTTTGTTACTCTGTATGTGCTCCAGTTTATACTACATAAGTATTGCTTGTCTGTTTCCCTACTAGAAGGTAAGGTCAGGAGAGCAGCTCATTGTCATTGCGGAATCTCCAGGGCACATAGTAGGGCCTTAGTAAATAGTTATTGACGGTGAGCGAGGAGATGCGTTTGCCTTCGACAATCCCCCCCAGACCCAATGCTAAGACAGGTCCACAACGTCCCTCCCTGCCTTGAGGCACCCCGTTGTAGTTTGCAGAACCGTACAAGATGGCAGGAACTCAATCCCAGGAGAGGCCCCGGGGCCAGCCTTCTGCCGGGGGGCGGCGGGGGGGGGGGGGGGAGCATTTGGGAGCTGAGTTTACCAGGCGGCTCCCATTGGCTCCAATTACAGGAGCCAATCCTGAGGCGCTTCCTAAGGGCCTAGCTTTTCTTTTTTTCAAAACAAATTTCATCCACAATCAATGGTGAGAAATTAAATGGATTCTCTGGATTACGTGGATTGAGCAAAATAGCCATCTGCCAGGGCCGAGGAATGAGCAATCTGTTGGTAATTTTTCCGCTGAAATTTGGCATCTGCTTGGCGTTGTACACCATTTGCACCTCGGGAAATACCTTTTACACCCCTGACCCTCGTCTGGCCTTCAGATTAAAAAAAAAAAAATGCAAATGAAAGATTAGAAAATTATAAAAAAGAAAGAACCCTTCATGTGTCTTCACTTAGCATTTTAGCGACTTAAGCAAACTGCACAAAACTAGCCTTCCAAAGGCGGTGAGCGCCCTGAAAGGGAGTGAGGGCCGGAGCCGGCGAGCGGGCAGCTGCAAGCCCGGGCGCCGGGCCGGCTCCTCGCTGCGGCCGCGCGGGCCGCCCCGTGCCCCTGTCGCCGGGCTCGCGGCTCTCGCAGCAGGAGGCGGCTCTCCGGGCCTCGCTTCCTGCACCCACACGGGGCTAAAAAAGAACGCGCACAACTTTTTTTGGTCCCCCTTCTTGCGAAACGCTCGCGTAACGAGCTCGCCGGAGTAACCGCTCCGGGGGCTGCCCGTGGACGCGGGCTTCCGCTGCCCCGCGCGGCCCCCACCCGGGAGCGGGCGTCGGCGCGGGGGCGCCGGCCGGGGGCGGGGCCGGGGCCGGGGCCGGCGGGGCGGGGGGGGGGGGGGGGGGGGGGGGGGGCCCGGTGGCGCGTGCGCAGAGCACTTCCTTGTTTGTCCCCGTGACTGTAGCGGGAGCGCCGCCCGCCTCTCGCCAGCCCGCCAGCGGGAGTGTGTGCTCAGTCAGTCGGTGTCCGCGCCGCCGCCTGTCAGATCGTGTGAGAAGGCAGCGCCTGCCGCCCCGACCTGCCCAGCCCGGGCCCCCGCGCAGCGCCGCGCAGCGCCGCGTCCCCTCCCCCGCCGCCGCCGGCATGAGCAGAGGGAGGCGGGTCCCCGAGAGTCCCCTTCCTCGCGCGCCGCTCAGAGTTTGAAGGGCCCCGCGCCGAGCGCCGCCGCCGCGGCCGCCGCCGCCTGCTTCGGCCGCCAGCCCTTTCTCCTGCCGCCGCCGCTGCCGCCGGGATCTCGAGCCGCTCCAGGCCGGGCGGCGGGTGGCGGGCTGCGCGCGGGGCGTTCATGAGCCGCCGGCCGGCCCGCGGCCCCGGGAGCCTGCGCCGTGACTCACTCCTCGCCCCCGCTTGTGTCTCGCCCTCCCCGGCAGGATGCCGGACCAGATCTCCGTCTCCGAGTTTATCGCCGAGACCACCGAGGACTACAACTCGCCCACCACGTCCAGCTTCACCACGCGGCTGCACAACTGCAGGAACACCGTGACGCTGCTGGAGGAGGTAGGTCGGGGCCGGTGCCCTCCGCGCATCCCCCCCTCCCCCCCTCCCCGGCGCCCGGCCCCCAGCCGGGGACCCCGGCCCGCCCGCTGGGATGCCTCGCTGCCTCCCCTCGCGGCCGCCGCCTCGCAGTTGGATTGTTTCGATTTCCGAGCCGGGGAGGATGGGGATGTTGGGGCCTGGGGAGCCACACCCCCTCCGGGACCCCCTCCGCCCACCGCGCTCCCAGGTGATCGGGGGACTTCGGATGTGCAGCCCCCGCCCCATTTCCCCCGGAGCTGGAGGTGGGGAGAGAACTGAGCGGGCTCTGGACAGCCCGAGGCAGAAGAAGAGGCGAGTCCTCTCCCTCTCTTGCTCCCTTCCTGTGTGCCAAGCAGGCTTCTAGGCGCTTTCCACATCCTTGTGACCCTCTCGTAACCCGCGAAGCAGGTGGTGTCAGGCCACCGAGGGCAGAGGGAGGCGAAGCCCTGTGGCCAAGGTCACTAGTAGGGGACTGGGCGATGGTCAGTGAATGCAGCTCTCCAAGGCCCGGCTTGGCCAGGCAGGCTTCGCTGCATAGGCGAGGGCCGGTGGAAAAATCCCAAAGGAATGAGGGGGCTCAGGCCGGGACTGCCTCCACCCCAGGATTCCTCCCTTCTAGTCCTAAAGCCCTGGATGGAAAGAGATATCTGTGCAGACTGGTCCTCACCCTCCTCCCCTGGCTGGATGGTTTGGTAGGGTTTGAGGCTGCTGCGCCAGCAGGATCTGCCCACAGGGAACTCCTAAGCTGTGAATGCAGACCCGAGGCTGATGCTGCCTGGAAGAGCTGGCTAGACAGGAAGAAGGGAGGCCTGAGACTGCAGAAAGAACAGCTCCTCTTATCTGGGTCCTCCGGGGAAAGGTTGTGGGTGCCCAGGGCAGAGCCAAGGGTGTAGCAGTTTCCTTTAAAATTTTAAGTGAATTAGTGATCAGGCAGAGTGGGTAGGTAAGGAGGAACCCACAAGCCCAGGAGCTGCAGAAGCCTCCGAACCTCCATAAAAATAGGCATTTGTCCTGGAACTCTGCCCCATCTGTAAGTGCTCTAAAGCACCACTACCCTCCAAAGAAGCCAAACCTACTTCAACTGAAAAAGACAGCATTGGGGGAAGTTAGGAAGGCAGATCGTTTTCCCTGCCTAGATTATTATTGTGTGGTTGGTTTACTTGAGGTTTGGGAAGCTCTTTCTGATTTAAGCTCACCATGGCTCCCCCTCTGTAACATTAAGAAGCTTGGGCTTCTGTGGGCAAACTGCTCTTGATGCAGGCTTTGATACTCGCTCTGGGTCAGGTTATAAGCAGAACTGGTGTTCAGAAGCCAAGGGCCCTAAATTTTAGGAGGGGAGACGTTCCTGCTAGTGCTGGGTCCTGTTTTGCTGGCCTGATGTTGCATATTAGTCTGAATGTTTTATGCCAGTTGAGGTTGCTTCTGGAGTCTCTCTGAAGTTAATGTTGGGTTATTGAACTGAATTTTGAAATTCAGCTGGAGAAATACCATCTAACTAGATGTGTTGGAAAGCCAGAGGTAAATGGCTGTCTTCTTTGTTTTGGTTTTGTTTTTGTCAACTGCCTGTCGCACCAGCCTGATGTTTGGTGTCTGGGATTAAACGGACTTGCCAGGCATTCAACCCTATGACAAGTCTGTCCTTCACTTGATTGTGATAAATTGAAACATGCTGATATGGGAGCATTTTTCATCCTTCTTCTGTACTAGTTGTATATGCTTCTAAGGGCTGTGACATCGGTTAGACTGAGCGGTTATTTTCCTTCTAGAGAACTTCTTCAGTGCCTGCTAATAGAGCTGTCAATTGCTTTAACTTTCCTTTCTGCACAGTCAGATAGAGTCACTGTATTCTGTTTGTGTGGGGTGTGATAAGGGTAAGTATATAGTTGGGGATGCTGTTTGTAGGGGTATGTGCCCACATTTTGCGGCCACACCAGAGGATAGGGTTAATGTTTTAAAGTTACATGCAGCTGCTCTTGATCTTCGTTTGAGGTTACTAAATTTAACAGCAAATACAGCAGATACATTTTTTTTTTGGCACGGAATATTGTTTTGCAAGGTTAGATAGAAAAACAGACCTGGTGATAATACAAACCTGGTCACCTATGAACTTGAGAAGGACTTGGAACTAGGCTGGAAGTTCAAAAGTGTCAAGTTGGAGTACGTTGATATGTTCTCAAAAATATCACAATGAATGTTTCATAGAGAGTGGCACAATAATTTTGTAACTGTTTTTCTGAACTCAAGTGCAGTCCTGGTCAAGAAGTCATTGCCTCCAGTCTGCATCTTTTAACTGTTGAATTGTATTCCATGACGTTGGACTCGTGAATGATTGCCTTTAGCATAAATGTGAAATATGCCCTTTAGTTTCTTAATTGATAATCACCACAGTTGAATTTTTAATCCCCCCCCCACCCAAGCTTACCTATGTGGAAGAGGTACATTAATATAAATGTCTTGAGTGGATCACAATTCAGTTCTTAAAAATTATGGGGCTTAGGACTTCCCTGGTGGCGCAGTCGTTAAGAATCCACCTGCCAGTGCAGGGGACACAGGTTCGAGCCCTGGTCCGGGAAGATATCACATGCCGCGGAGCAACTAAGCCCGTGCGCCACAACTACTGAGCCTGAGCCCTAGAGTCCACGAGCCACAACTACTGAGCCTCAGCTACTGAAGCCTGCGCACCTAGAGCTTGTTGCTTCGTAAGAAAAGCCACTGCAATGAGAAGCCCGCGCACTGCAACAAAGAGTAGACCCTGCTTGCTGCAACCAGGGAAAAGCCCGCATGCAGCAATGAAGACCCAACACAGCCAAAAAATAAATTAATTAATCAAAAAAATATTATGGGGCTTAAGGTTGTTATCCTCAAAATATAAGGAAAAGTTTTGGGCCAGACCACGAAATCTTGTTGGCCTAGGCTTCATGAGTGAGATATATGGAAACTTTAAGAGCGCTGTTTGTGTTATCTTGTGGTTATTCCTAGGGATAGAACTTTTGGGTACTTTTTGGTGATGTGGAAACTCAGGAACAGGAATTAATTTGGGCAGCTTAGAATTTTTTTTAAAATCTTTTTCTAGTTCTGCTAATTGTCTTCCTATTTATCTGTGAGCTTTTTTGCTCTTTGGATTCCTAAGTCTCACCTAAAAGATTGTATTCGATCTCCTAGCTTGGAACCCCAAATTAGCCCACACTGTCCCTTTTGCTGCGTCCTGTCGGCAAAGAGTTCTGTGCTTTGCAGATGTTGGCGCTTTTGCTTTCATCTCTCTGTGATGTGCACTCAAGGAGCTGGGTCAGAAATATGTGGTAAAAAAGGAAAAGCGTTTACTTCTGGGCTTCACCTTTGGGGGCAAAGGGTCCCACATGACTCTGCAAGTCATGGCGTGGCTGGCACACAATGAGTGGCTGCTTTTGAGAGGCAAGAGCGGACGGGCTGCCAAGGTTTCATGCTGGTGTGTGAGTGTTTTCCAAGCAAAAAGCCAGTGTTTTGCTTATTCAGCAACCAGAGCACACTAATGTGTGCCATTTGACTTGTGACCGTTTGGAAATTATGAGTAAATGACTAGGAGAAGGCAGAGCTTTCCCAAGAAGGTAGCAAGCAGGCACATTCCAGGACCACTGTCCGGGGAGAGAGTAGGATAGACTCTCCATTTAAAGGCTTAGATCGGTCCATACTTAGTGCTTGGTGATGGGGAGAGTCCAGTATGATACACGAAGGTCAGCTTGGTTATTTAGTATTGGCCCAGCACTTTTACCTTGGGTGACGGTGGAGGAGGCATGTTCTGCCCATTTATTGAGCAGCTGCTCTGTACCAGGCGCACTGAAGACACACGGCACGCGTGATCACACTTAACCCTCATACAGGCTTTATGAAGGAGGGACAGTTGTTACCTCCATTTTACAGAGAAGAAAACTGAGATGAAGTGATGAAGTGATTTGTCTCCAAGGTCAAATGGCTAGTAAGTAAGTGAGTTAGGAAATCCTAAACAGTTAAGACAAAAAGTAGACGTTCTAAATGTCTACAAAGACATATTCCAGCGGTTTTGTAGGGAACATAGGAGGCTTCACTTTTTTTTTTTTTTAATAAGTTTATATATTAGGCTGTGTTGGGTCTTTGTTGCTGCGCACGGGCTTTCTCTAGTTGTGGCTCGCGGGCTCTAGAGCGCAGGCTCAGTAGTTGTGGCGTATGGGCTTAGCTGCTCCGCGGCATGTGGGATCTTCCCGGACCAGGGCTTGAACCCGTGTCTCCTGCATTGGCAGGCGGATTCTTAACCACTGTGCCACCAGGGAAGCCCCAAGGAGGCTTCACTTTTATTGTCCCTTCTCATTTTGGTCTCATGAAACAGAGGTACCTAAGTTCCTAGGTGGCTTGGTTTTTCTTCATGTTCACGTTCCAGGGAGTTCTTCCAGGTAATCCTTAAATGCACTAATTTTTCTCCGCTGTGCTTTCACAGATTTGCGTGTGGTTTTTCAGATTCAAATGTGGGAACTTACTTGGCATCATCCAGGAACAGCATTCACTCAGCATATTTTGGGGGAGCGCTTGCTGTGTACAGCCTAGTGGAGGCATGGGGGGCGGTGCTACCTGGATTAGGTTATGGAGAATCTGATGGTCTTGGAGAGAGAGCTCAGTGGGGCCATCACTCTTAACAAGGTAGAAAGGGGCAGCTCGTAGGTGGGGGAAAATAACATAGGGCATTATCCTGTGACACAAGCTGAATCACTCGTCCAGTCAATATACAGATTGTCCATACACGTGGCCTGAAGTGTGCTGGACCCTGGGCATGCTAAGATGAACAGCCCTGCCCTCAACAGTCTAAAAGTTTTGTTAAGGGGGTTTTCAGTCAAGTGTGGGTCTTGCATCAGAGGCTGGCTTGTGTTAGCATGGGCAGATGAGGTGTTCAGTCCTTTCTGAAGGCATAGAAATGTTTGGCTAAATGAAGAAATGAATGAAAGTGTGGAATGGAGGTTCCTTATCAAGGCCTGTTCCAAAATAACAGTAGTTACCAGCTGTTAGTGCTCTTACTGTGTGCCAGCCCCATGCACTATTATTTCATGCTGACGCTTACCCTACTGTTATCATTGACCTCATCTTATGAGAGTTAAGCCTTTTGCCCAACATCACACAAACGGTAAGTAGTGGATTTGGGAATTAATCCCATATCTATAGTGTTCCCATGCATGCCAGTCAGACTTCATCTGTATGTGTTTCCTCCCACCCCATGTAAGTTTTCATTTTTATCCATGTTCTTTGGGGCATCTTCTTCCATGCTGATGACTAGAGGTCATCAATCTTAGATAAATGCTTTTAAGCGCTCAAGTGTTGTTCTAGGGAATCTCACATGTAGGACCTGTATGGCCAGGGCTTGGAGTCTGACCTTGTTCATCAGCTCCCAGTGTTCTAGAATGCAATTGCATTGCTTCTCTTAAATTTTAAAAGCTGGCAAACTTAATAGGAAGTGCTCCTTTATATAGTGGCTGCTAAACTTGGTTGTAGTCTTAAAAAAAACAAGTCTCAGGAAGGGTTTAGATAATATCAAAGTTGGTCCTTTGCATTGCTTAAGGTTAAGAATATGTGCTTACTTTGTCCCTGAACTCTTGAAGATAAAACAACAAAAGGTGAACAGGTCTTCCCCATGCCACTGTCCCATGCAAAATTCTGGGCTCTGTGGCTCAACCCTCAGTCCCGAGGTACTTAGGGTGAGTTTTCTCTGGACATAACCAGCAAAGGCCAGTGAGTGAAGGATACATTTGCCTATAGAAGCAAGGAGAGAAGGACACTTCCTTTATGTACCAGAACTCATCCTCTTTCTAAAATGAGGCTCAAACCTGTTAGCCGGCTAGTCCAAGCTAATGCTGTTTGCCTTTTATATACATCTTTAGGGTTTAAAAACCATTGTCCACTTCTACCATCTAATAAAATCCCTGTCTGATAGCATTCTTATCATTCTTTTACATATGAATAAACCAAGGCTCAGAGAGGTAAAATGTGTTCCCCAAGGTCACACAGTATTGAATGCTCTGAGTGCAGGATCTCTGGATCTGAAAGCCTTTCTGTTTCATCTCTAGTTCACTCTTTTGTGCTTCCTGTCTGCTAGTTTTTTTTGTTTGTTTGTTTTTTGTCTTGCAGATGTCTACTGATTATTTTTCTTATCTCCACTTGATTTCTAGTGCCAGAGACAGAGAGAGAGAGACAAAGATAGTTTGGGGTAGAGAAGAAGAAGAAGGGAAAGTTGTTTTTCTCTCTTCTTAAGAGACCTCTTGTTGGACCTCTCTTGAAATCTCTGTCTTTTGTAGTCAGAGACAGCACTGCCAGCGGTCCTCCCTGGGCTCGACAGAAGTGGAAAAGGCCCTGTGGCTTCCAGCTCCACCCTGGCATACTTGGTCTGGGACTGTTGACTAACCTGTCTTTGCCTGTGAGCTGCCTGCAGCCCTGGCTGAAGAACCGAGACTCTGGGTTGGAGTGCTGCAGGGCTCTCCCGGCTGGCTGCCTTCGGGCTTCCTGCCCATCACAGCCCTGCCTTTGGGCTGGGTGCTGGGAACTCTGGACATCAGAGCTGAAGGGGCCTCGGAGAAAATCTAGTCTGGTGCTTGCCAGCCTAGGAGCCTGGTCTCTGAGGGGCCCACGGAAGTTGCCATGTGGGTCCAGCAGCCACTGGCAGTAGCCCAGGAAAATTAATAGACACCTCTCATAGCGTGGGTCAGCATATTTCTCCTGCCAGTTGTCTTGGATTTTGGCTGAAATACATCCGCTTGGTGGTGGAGCGCTGATTATCTCCTGCTGGTCAGATACTTGGATTGCCAGTTATAGATTCCTAACATTGGGAAGCAAAATGTTCTCTCATTCTTGTTTTTGGTTTTGCTAGAAGCAGCTTCGAGTTTTGTATTCCGGTGGGAGAAAGCTCATGAAGGAAAAGGACCTGCACAGATCGAGTTTAGTAACGTTGCTTTCACAGGTGGAAACGGAGACCTAAAGATGGCAAGGAAATTAGGCAGGGATTTGAATTCCAGTCTCCTGACTCCTAGCCCAGGCTCTTTGCACTCTGCTCTCCCAAAGGGCTATGGAGGCTGGTTGTACATGGGGCGGGGGGGTGGGGGGGGATGGGCGGGACCCTGTGGCTCTTGTGATGATGCCTTTTCCAGTGTCGTTCCCTAGAACTTGCTTCCAGGTAGAAGGAGTGGTGAATGAACCTGAACTTGGGAACCTGATCTTGCCAGCCGCTCTGCTGGTAAGTCCTGCTCTCACATGACCTGCTGTGCGAAGCCGCAGCAGCCGTCCCTGATGTGGGGCTGGGAGGCTTTCATTAGAAGCATTTGTGGTGTTGGATGTTCAGACGTTACCCAGACCTTTGTCTTTACGTCTGGGAGTCAAGGGAGCCTCAGGGAGGTGGTTTCCATTTATGTAACCTAGTCATTTGGGGACTAGAGGCAGACCTTGGCCTCAGCCATTCCCACATGTATTATTTAAACGCGAGTAAGTGATGGGAGCCGGATGGGGATCACTTTGCAGCTAAGCCTCGGTTTCCTCATTCGATGAATAAATGGCATTGTTTTGAGTATTAAAGGAGATAATGCAAGTGCAGCACTCATCAGGTGGCTGCATTACTGGGAAAATGTGGCCCTGTGAACGCCAAGGCCTGACCTGTCTCATTGGTCAGGCTTCCTCCCGTGGCGCGGGGAGGGAGGAGGTGAAAGGCATTCCTTGATGGGGAGCCGGGCAGAGCTCTTTCCACTGTGGACCAGCGGCGACATTTGGGTCGAGGAGGACAAAGTTCCCTTGCCGAGGTTAATTGCAGCCCTGTTATCTTCTAGTGTGTGTCAGGCAAGTCACTGAACCTTCAGGTGTCTTAGTGCCCTCATGGGGATAGTACCTGCCTCTTAGTGAGTCAGTGTACGTGAAGTGCATGGAGCCGTGCCCGGCATGGTTGGTGCTCTCTAAATGATTGGTCTTACCGTCACTCTTGTTGCTGTTTATTATTAATTGGGTTGGACCCTTGAATGTGTGACCGAGAGGATGAGACTCGGTAGAGTCATTTTGGACGGATGCGTGATGAGGTCAGTGACAGAGCCAGCTGTGTGCCTGGGAGGAGCTGGAGGGTGGAGGCGCAGATGGGACTAGAGGGAGGACTAGGGCAGCACTAAACACATTGACCACGGGGGCGGTCACGGTCAAAGCCAACTTGATCTGAAATAGACTGTCAACTCTGTTTTACTCTATACTCAGCCCTTGGCGGTACTGCTGTGAAGTAAGGGAAGCAGTGGCCAGAGCTGCCCCCTCGGACCCAGGCCGGTCTGATGGGCTCTGCCGGCGCAGCCTTGCTGTCCATGCTTCCTGGTGTCACTGCTGACTCTTTGTTTCCTTCCCCCTGACCTCCTTCTGCCGCATCCCCTCCATTGGTGCGTCAAAGCTGGGGCAGTGCTGCCCCTTTTGGTTTTTGCTGGGGCTTTGTGTTAATGAGCCGCGTTCTCTGTTAACTAATAAATGCGGGTATTTGGTTTTGGTGGTTTGTGGGGAGGTGCTGGGGAAAGCGTTTATGTGCTGGCCCTGACTGGGACCCGGGCGTGGCAGCTGGTTGTTTGCTTTACTGATCACAGCTTGGAGCACTGAGACCACAAGGAGTTCTATTTTGGTTTGGACGCAGGCGCCTTCACAGAAAAGGATCTACCCTTGAATTTGCATTTCTGTGTGCCTCATAACTTCTTTTTATTATTATTATTATTATTTTTTAATTTTTGGCTGCATTGGGTCTTCATTGCTGTGCACAGGCTTTCTCTAGTTGCGGCGAGTGGGGACTACTCTTCGTTGCGGTGCGTGGGCTTCTCATTGCAGTAGCTTCTCTAGTTGCGGAGCACTAGGGTCTAGGCGCGTGGGCTTCAGTAGTTGTGCACGCGCTTAGTTGCTCCACGGCAACTAAGGCCAGGGCTCGAACCCGTGTCCCCTGTATTGGCAGGCGGATTCTTAACCACTGTGCCACCAGGGGAGCCCCATAACTTCTTTTCAGTGTCAGTAAGATGAATTTTCGTTATTTGTGGGGCAGGAGTTAGGTCAGACCTGGAGGCCCTTGACCCCGCTTGGTCTTAACAGAATCTCGGAGTTCACAGTGGGTTCTTCCCACCCAGAGCCCCTTCTGAGCAGCCCTGTATCATGGTGCTGTTTGTGGTCACTTATGTAAGAACTGAATTTTGACGCCAAGGCTATGGTATAATTTTCCCAAAAGAACTGGAATATGTGTGCCTTTGGTAAGACAGCACCCAATTTAGCCACCCAGAAGCTAGGAAAACAAAATCAGAGCCTCTTGCCCCAGGGAGGTAGAGCCCCAAAGATGATTGCATTGCACGTAGCAACTATTACAGAAAGCAGAGTCCATCCAGACCATCCCTTTCCCTGCCAGATGTGATTTGGATGGAGAAAAAGATAAGTTCTTCCAAGCTCTTTCTGTTATTAATAGAGCCTGGATACCTTGTATTTCTGTAGCGCTGTGCTCAGGGACTAGGGCAAGCACGGCCGTGTCCCCAGTGCCCTGTATTATTATGGGATACACTTGACAGAGCTGGAAAAGGCTTTAGAGACCGTCTCCTGCTTTCTGTAGACGACGAAGCTGAGACCCAGAAAGCCCAAGTGTGTTAGGCTCTTTTGTTGGAAGTAACAGACTCTGCCTCCCCCCAAGAAAACAAAATACAGCTAGTTCAGGCAAAATGAGGGTTTATTATAAGGGCTCCCGGGGGGGTATTTTATGGAACGTGGGGAGCAAGAATGGTAGGAAGTGAGGATATTCTCTTGAGCAGACGGTAGAGATTGGCAGCCCTGGCTCTCGTGCCCCCCACCAGCTTAGTCTGTATGCCTGGCTGGGATACCTGGGACGGGGGGTCGGGTCAGCCAGCTGGGGTCAGGAGACCACTGCTAGTGCAGTCAGCTTTGGTGGGTTGGTGGGGCTATCGGATGGGAGGGAGTCCCTCTTCAGCAGGGACTGGGCGTGATGGTGGTCCTCAGAGACAGCTAAGGGAGTAGGGAAGCACCCCCTCTACCCCGGATCACAAGGGCGATGGGATGAGGATCTGGTCTTCTGGTCCCGCCGTCAGCATCCTTCAGTGGAGTGAGAGCGACACGGAGATGACAGTGCCTCCCTCGCAGGGTTGTCAGGAGGACCAGCCGCAGCCCTGTGCCTCGCCCCAGCGGCCCTGGGGGTGTCAGCTTCTCTGCCCTTCCCTCTGCAAGTCTCGCCTCCCCGTGACCCCCCTGCTCTGTATTCATTTGGGACATTTGAAGGGCTGTGGTCAGGGCACCGCGCTGCCTAACTGTAGCTTTCCTGATGTGGTCAAGAAAGACCAACATTCCACACAGGCTGTGGGTGGAGGAGAAACACCCCACTGCCGTTTAAACCCATGGTGATGACATGGTGCTCAGAAGTAATCTCCCATAGATACCCAGGGCGGATGGAAGATTCAGCAGGGCAGCTGGGCTCTGCTGGGGAAATGTGCTGCTTTGATTGGCTGTCTCCCAGTGTCAAGTAACAGAAGCTGCTTAAATGTCTGACGAGGGCCCGCGGCTTTCTTTCCATTTAAGTGACTTCACTGACCAGTTACACACAAAATAAAACTTGAGCGTCTTTGCTGTTTTCAAATGTGGGGAGTCGTCTTTCATGTTTCATTAATCATCTTTTAAAATGTAGCCCATTTCCTTTTCCTTGTCATGTTTATTCACATTAATAACACTTACATAAAATTAGATACTCCTTATTTCCACGAAGTGCAAATCAAAATAAGCGTTCACTGCTGGCCTAGGAGCTGCTGCTGCTTTAATAGTAGTAATACTTTTCATAGCAATGCAAGTGAATGCACCGCCTCCCAGTAAATAAAATGGTGCCAAATCAAAGAACGTGGTCACTGTCCCAAGGCTTCTGCATTTTGAGTAAAAGAGTTTGAACAAATTCTGAATCCGCCAGCGCTACAATTAAGCACCTTCTCTACGCTGGGCACTGTGCTGGATGCCTTACACACATCATGCCACTTAATTCAGTCCTTCCAGCAGCTCTGTGGGGTGGGCACTGTTGCCCGTTTTACAGATGACAGGCTCGGCTTAGAAAGGATTCAGACCAGTCCATGCTCTTTCTACCTCAGACTCGTCCTAATGAAAAAATGCTTTATATTGTGAATGGAGTGTTAATGAAGTAGAACAATCAGGAATTAGGCTTCAGCTGAAGCATGAGACATTTCGGTTAGAGTTGAATAAGAACTTCCTGACAAGATATTAAATACCACTGGGTGGTCATGGAAATCACATTTTTTCCCCTCCAGTTGGCTAATTAACTAAATTATATACTTATTCATGGTCATACATGTATTCACTTTTAGTAGATTGTAAGTACCTTGAGGCCAGGGATACTCTCTCCCCCTGCCCCCTTTTCTTTTACCTACTGTCACTCAGAAATATGACTAAAATAGTGAAGGGTAGAGTGAAATTGCATTTGATTTATAGTTGTTGAGGGTAGGTCTGGTAAAAGTTTTCCAGATGCTGCTGTCTACCTCTCTGGACTTCAGTTATATGCCTACCAATTACATAGAGCAGAAAAAACCCTCGATTGCTAAATTTCCTGGAGGTCTTGCCACATTCATGGCAGACCTGGATCCCAGCTGACTTTTTGGTCTGGGATTTTTGGTGTCTGCAACCTGCAGTCTTTCAGTGGGCTAGCAATTTCAGGAACAGTGACAGCTCTCACTTTTTGAGTCCCAGCTCTGTCCTGAGTACAGAAATAACTGTCTGTGTTATTTTTAACCCTCGCATCACCCAGCTAATAAATAATGGAGCCGGGAATCACACCCAGGTGTGTGGGGCTCTGCAGCCAAACCCTTCCCACATCCAACCAGCCTGACTTTGCTGTGATTTAGCTGCAAAGTGCAAGGGAAAGGAAGAGTCAGGTTAGTGTTTACTTTCTTAGTGGAAACAAACACACAAACAAGACCTGCATATTCCAGTGGAAGAGAAAGCATTTTCCCCTCTGGCTTTGTTTCCTTAAAGTTGAATGGGAGGCGTTTAAATTTGGATAATTTATATGCATTGTCTGGGGCAGCCAGTTTGTGATATGGTATCAGAGGGATTACCAAGAGAATTGGTATTTTCAAAAAGAGTTCATCTCTCTGATTTTCCTTTACAAATGGTAAGGAGTGAATCGTGATTTTACGAGCAGTTGTGCTCTGGGTTTACTCTCCAACTTTTCTGTACTCTGTTACAACTGCTTACGAATACGTAGTGTCTCATTTCATCCACGACACTTTTTAAGGCAACAAAGCTACCGTTTCCTCATTTGACAGATGAGGAAACGGAGGCTCAGAAAGTTGAAATGACTTGTCAGAGGTCACAGGACTGAAGAAGTAGCGTGCTGAAGCTCCAGGACAGTTCTGCCATCCAGTCTCATGTGTTGTGTCCCACCCCACTGCCCTGTGGAAAGCTCACCATCTGAAAGAGGTGGATCTATGGGATGTTTTGTCAGGTGATTTTTTACTTAAAGAATACGTTCTGACTTAAAAAAAAGAACATGGATTTTATTATTGGACTATTTTGTAATGCTTTGCATTCTTGGATTCCCCCCCCCACACACAAATAGCTTTTGTAGTCTCTTTTTTCCTTAGTAGCTCAGTTACTTTGGGCATGTTTCTGTTTTAGTTTGTTGGTTTGTTTGTGACTTTCACAGATGCAGAAGTAGAGAAACCAGTAGGAACTTCCACCTACCAGCTTCCACAGTGATCTGCTTTGGCCACTCTTGTTTTTATCCCTACCGCCCCACCTTGATTTTTGAAGCAATTCCAGAAATTCTTTCATTTCATCCATACATATTTTAGTGTGTATCTCTGAAAGATACGGACTTGAAAAACAACAGCCACGCTGAACCACAATAAATATAATGATCACATCAAAAAATGAACATTTTCTCAATATAACATTAAATATTCAGTCAGTGTTCAAATTTCCCCAGCTATCTTTTTTTTTTTTAATGATTTGTTCAAACCAGGATCCAAATGCAATCCATAGGTTCAACTTGACATGTATGTAAAATGTCTTTAATCTGTGGGTACCCCGTCTTTTGTTTTCTTTGTAATTTATTTGTGGACGAAAAGAGTTGTTTGTCCCATAGAGTTTCCCATAGTCTGGATAGCGTTGCTTGTGTCTCTGGTGTCATTTAACAGGTGCTACAGTCTTCTTCTTTTTTTTTTTTAATTTTTATTGGGGTATAGTTGCTTTATAGTGTTGTGTTAGGCTACAATCTATTCTTTTTTAAAAAAAATAAATTTATTTTATATTTATTTTTGGCTGCCTTGGGTCTTTGTTGCTGCGTGCAGGCTTCCTCTAGTTGCAGCGAGCGGGGTCTCCTCTTCCTTGCGGTGCGTGGGCTTCTCGTTGCAGTGGCTTATCTTGTTGTGGAGCACGGGCTCTAGGTGTGTGGGCTTCAGTAGTTGTGGCTCGCAGGCTCTAGAGCACAGGCTCAGTAATTGTAGCACACGGGCTTAGTTGCTCCACAGCATGTGGGATCTTCCCAGGCCAGGGCTCGAACCCATGTCGCCTGCATTGGCAGGTGGATTCTTAACCACTGTGCCACCAGGGAAACCCTGCAATCTACTCTTTTTTTTAAAAAAAAGTTTTATTGAAGTATAGTTGATTTACAATGTTGTGTTCCTGAACCACTTTCAAAGTCACTATTTCAAGCATCCCATTCTCTGGGTGCCTCGCCAGTACCTACTGGTCCGTCTCACATCCACTAATTTGCAGACCCTACCAGGTCTTTGACCACGTCAGGGCCTCCAGTCCACCGATGCTGCTCTGCGACCCATCCGCTGCTCTTCGCCCCCTCATAGCTTCATTCCCCTTTTTACCCCGTGACTGGTCAGGTGTGCAGTCTCCCTACCATACACTCTCATCCCTCTTGTCCCTCTCCTTGTATTGTATCCACCTTCCAAAGCCACAACACTGACCGGAAGCACCTTTGCCTCTACTTTGAGACTACACCCGAGTAGTTGAATGTGGCTGGAGAACAACAGCCGGATTTGCCAACCTGTCACATCTTAAATTTATGAACCTCAGGTGGGTCCTAGCACCGCAGGGAAAATCTACTCTTTGTCTTATTTATGTTGTTCTTCCACTCTTCAGGAGGACTATTTCCTACCTCTTCTCTCTATTCGAACCTCCATTACTCTCCCCTTTTCACTGTCAGCGGATGGCATTGTTCTCATTTCATTGAGCATACAGAAGCAATCAGAAGAGCACTTCCTTATGCTCCAGCCACTGATTCTATCCCCTGACCTGGGTCTGAATCCATATACATGGCTTTTTCTCCCATGACAGTGGCTGAGCCATCCTCATCCTGTCCTCAGTCCCTTTATCTTGAGCCCTGGATCTCAGCCCCTTTCCTTCACCTACTCAAGAGCCTTCCTCCTGCAGTGATCCTTCCCCCTCTCTTGCATCATCAGCCCTTCCCTTTCCACTGCATCGTTCCCATGAACATATAAACATACCATAGTACCTTTAATCGCTCATCTCTCTGCTCCCTTTCATAGCAAAACTCCTTAAAAGAGTTGTCTCTATTCACTCCCTCCAATTTCTCATTTTCCATTCTCTTGAATCTACCTCAGCCGACTTTCATCGTTATTATTCCACTGAAACTGCTCTGGCCAGTGCAATGGCAACGATGGTTCCTGTCCTGCAATCTATTCTTAACATACTTTTGTTCCCAATAATTTTTTCATATTGAGCATAAAAGGAATGTATTCCCTTTGTAGAAAACTAGTAGGAAGGGCATAAAAAAGAAAACTGAAAAGTTATCCATAATCCTGGCAGCTAGGGATAACCACTCCTGTCTCTTCAGGATTTCCTTTCAGATTCATCTGCATCCCGCTTACCTTCATTTAAAGCGTTGTGAGCATTTCCCCATATCATTAAAAAGTCTTCAGTAACATTTTATAAGGCACGTCATTATGTTAATGGCATTTCCCTCCTTCCCTTAAGTTACCCCTGACTGAGGAGTTTGTGTTTTTACATAGTTAGGCTCAGCAGAAACAGAGCAGTGAATGTGTGAATGCATCTGTCATTATCCGCCCTAGTGTTGCTAGATTCCTAGGAGGGGAATTATTGGGTTGAAAGCCAGGTATATTCATAAATTTCTGAAATGGTTGTCATATAGCCAGATTCCCCCAGAAGGATGGCTCGTGTGACATTACCTGCCCCCCAAGCCCTGGGCAGCCTGTGAACGAGCTTTTTGCCCACACAGGGACAGCACCGAGTGAGACCTTGACTTTTAAGTTTCTCCAGAGGGAAAGCTTGGACTTCGGGTGTGCTGTTGCCCTCTCCCGTGTGTTGGTGCACCAGAAGTTACTGTGAGTGTGGAGGGGAAGAGGAGCTAGCGTGGGTGTTCTTGCACTGTTTGTGGAGCGGAGTGGATGGAGGGCCGAGAGCCCATGCCATCTCCGTGTCACGGGGAAGTGGGCAGCTCCACCCTGTCAGCCCTCCAGTCCTTAGTGGTGACTTCTTTGCCTTCTGTAGCCTCCCTGCCCCAATCCCTGCTCACCGTGGAAATAAGTTTGTGAGGGCCTGAGCCTCGTGGCTTCAGGAATACAGAAATCGCACTCGCTAAGGAAAGGGGGCACGTGTAGGAAACAGACATGGAGTCCGTTGGACTCCTTGCCAGGGTGTCACCCGGCCTGGGTAGCTCCTCTCCTTTCTCCTTTGCTGCCTGGATGGTTTCCCTTCCCCTGTTAGCTCCACAGGCCATTTCTCCAGCTGAGAAACTCCTTTGGATCAGTGAGTATCTCTTGTAGACCCAAGTACTGCCACATCCTTGACATGTGGTTGGGAATTAGCTAGTTGGACTGTTTCCAACCTACCACTTGGCTGAGAAGTAGCTGCCGGGGGTGTGTGTTTTGGAGCGAGGGGGCTCCTCTAGAAGTTGGGTGGGCCTGATGGGGCACCGGGGCCAGGGCCTGGGGAGTAACCTGAGGGGAGGAAGGTGCCAAGAGCACCTTGTCCTGTCTGAGAGTTGGCACATAATGTTTTTTAAGAAGCCAAGTTGTATTTCAGATATCCTGAGTTGTGTCTGGCCTGGTGAGCCCCGTCACTTCGTCATGTGAATTGTTACATGATGGGCTCATAAGGTTTTCCAGGGTTAACCTGGAAACCCCACCACTAGTGTTTTCGTGGGCTGGTGTTTTCCCAGCTCTGAAGGTTTCAGAGAGGCCCGTAAGTCTGAGTTGCCTCTGAATGTGTTGGGCCTCTCCTTCCCCAGGGAATCCAAGCAGTGGCTTTCTGGAGCATTTTTCCCATGGGATTTTATCAGTAGCTTAGCGTAGACTTCTTCAAGTCAGGGTTGACTCTCAGTACAACATTCTGGGTTCCATGCTGAGTACTTTACCTGCGGCATCTTACAGAATCCTCAGAGCATCTGGAAAGTGAGCAGTATTCACTTCATTTTACAGATGATAAGATTGAGCACAGAGAAATAGGGTGGCTTGACCAAGGTGTGCAGTCAGTGGGGGAAGCTGGAGGTTGTGTGTCTGAGGCCCACGGTCTTTTCATGACCGGTGTCATCCTCCCCCGTAGCCTTCTTCATCCTTCTTGCCCCTTTAAGTCTTCTTGTTTCCTCTTAGGGTCCCAGGACATTCTCCTCCTTACCCCGCATCGTGATTGTCCTGGCTCAGGACTGATATCTTCCCTACCAGAGGCTGCTTTCAGCTGACTCTCCTGGAAGACAGTCTCGGCGAGGCTGTTCCCTTACAGGTGTTGAAGCCTGATGACGCATTGCAGCGGCTTGCCTGTCCCACGGCTGTGTGGACCTCCTGCAGTGCACGATGCCCTGACCCAGCAGAATGTGGCCTTACAGGCGCCTTGCGGAGGCGGTTGGGAGGTAGTTGAGGTGTTGAGCGTGGGGATCCGCTTACGCCTTATGGTGTAGCTTCCTGTCTCTCCCCATATATCAGTCCAGTGAACCCTTAGGAAAAATGCCAAGTTCCCTGAGTCTCTTAGTTTGAATCCCTGGTTTCTCACTGCCCCCTTTTCTTTTGTTTGTTAATAAATTGTTACATAAACAAATGCTTTCCTCTTTCCCTTTTTGTTTCCAAGAATCTCCTAGAGCCTGTTAGTGAACCCTTGGTGCCTGAGCCCTGGTTACCTGGTATATGTCTGGTATTGGGCTGGGCAGTTAACATGTTGCATAATTTAATCTTGGCATCAACCTTAGGACGTGGATTCTCAGGTGTCTGTGTTGCAGCTTGTGGAAACAGAGACTCAGAGGGGTGCCGGGCTCTTGACATGTATTTTATCATTTGATCCTCACAACAGATCTATGATGTAGGTAATACCTGAATTTTCGGATGAGGAGCCTGGGGCTGGGCAGTGGGTAGTTTCCTGGCTCACGTTGTACTGCTGAAGGGAAAGAGCCACGGTTCAGGCTGAGATCTGTCTAGTCTCCAGGTCTCTGCTCTTAACCCGCTGTGCGTTGCAGCTCTTATCCAAGATCCCACAACTGCTGCTTGGTCACGTCTCCTCCAACGCTGGACACTGGGCGCTTCCCGAGACTTACTCTCGCAAGCGTGAGTAATGGGCAGGAGCTTGACCTTGTGACCCAGGATCATACATCCATTTGGGGTGGCCCTCCTGTTGCCCTGCGCCTACCCAGGCACGCTGTGGGTGGTGGGTGTGCTTTACTCTGGAGCTGTGGGTTGGGAGTTCGGTGTCGAATTCGCTTCCTGCAATGACGCGTTGTGTCACTTGACTTAGTGACTTAGTTTGATCTGTTAGCACCCCCAGAACCTTTTGGCCTCGCTCAGTCACACTAACTATTGGTTAGAGCAAAGCAAAACACAAACCCAGTCCGGAACAACCCCCTCTAAAAAGGAAAAAAGAAATGCAAGCCTGAGATTCTACTAGGTAGCCTTCTGGAAATGTCTTCAGCATCCATTGCCATGCTTGGCAGTCTTTAGAAGCGTTCAGGAGCCATTATAGTTTTATAATAGCCACAACTTATTAAGCTTTCCTTTGGAGCCTAGTACTGTGCTAAGTTCTTCACAGACTTCTCATTCTTAAGACAGCTTTGCAAGAGTTTCTGCACTTCATAGGAGAGAAGAGATGCACAGAGAAGATCAGTACATGCTCCAGTTTCACAGCTGGTTTATGGTAGAGCTAAGTTTCAACCCAGATCTGTTCAACTCCTCGGTGTCACACCACTGCCTTAGGCTTTATAGCTTGTTAAAGAAAAGTAGGGCTTCCCTGGT